CCATCGAATAATCGCTGATGTGTGTGTTTAACGTTGATGACAGTCCACAGTCTGGAATTTGCGCTGGAATGAAGCAATGCACGTCTCAAGCGCGCGTATTAGCCGCGGGCGGTAAGGGGTAGCAAAATCATGTTCATCGCAGCCTTGGCTTTGATTTCTGATTTCTCATATATGATGTTTTTCTCTTTTTTCTTGTAATACAGTCTCGACCCTGAGATAGACAACCCTCATTGATCTCAAGACTTGGTGAAAATTATACCACTTGAGCACGAGTGAGCGCTCAGAAGTGCACTGAAATGAGTGGGCCATTGTGGGCGAGCTTGACTGAAGGGCGGAGGTATGTTTGGTGGAGGGGAAAAGAATCTACTCTCCTTCTATAAGCAGATTACACCATCTGCCCAAAGAAATTTATTATCGCTTCGTTATTTTAAAAAAAAAAAAAAAAAAAAAAAAAAAAAAAAAAAAAAAACTCCTTTCTAATATATAACCTGACTTTGCGGCTGTTGTTTCATTCGATATACTATCCTAGCCTATGGGACCTATGTATAGGCAAGATCTATGCAAACCCCGAAACGAAGCTCCAGACGTTGCCAAATGCATGTTTCGAGAACATATTGCAGCCGGAAGCCTCATAAATAATCAACGTTCCAGAGTTAGATAGCCCGCTCCTTTCCATCGCTGTTTTTACCTTCAGTTTGTTCACCATGCAGTGGAATTGAGCAATATCCCAGTGCCGGTATCAACGGAGTTTGGTGAGGGTGCATCCACCGGTACGGGATGATCCAAATAGGAATACTGCAATAGTAAGTGACGTGTCTGTGGTTGGAGATTGAAGAAAGGAGTCGCTTGTATGGCGAAAGTATGAAGGACCGAATGATCCCGTGACAAAGTGCTACGACGGGATAATTCCCTAAAAATGCCTTTTTTTCAATTGGAAAGCTGGCATTTAAAAAGAAATAAATAAAAAACAAAACCAATCATTTTTCATTTGTACCAGAATCTTCTCTCTTTAACAGCTGAATCTTGCCCATGGTGAGAACTGCGCCGGAATTAGCAGTTGTCGAATTCTCATCGCCAGTGCCTTGGTTGTTCCTATCACCATCCGTAGATGAACCCCCTTTCCCATTGGATTTCGCAGAGACGGCGTTCCGGTCATAGCTCGTTGGATCGATCCCCAAGACCCCGCCAATGTAGCCGCCACGCTCACCGGGGACACTAAACTCACGAAAAACGTATCGCCATTCATTCAGCCAGGCTTTGACCGCCTTGCCGACTTTGTCTTTGCCATTTTTACTGTGATGTCCTGTGCCGGTGATAGCGTAGAGCACCCGGCGGCCAAGTTTCGCGTGCTCCAGTAGGATATTCTCCAGATATTCAATTGCCTCGCTGGGATGCAGGCCGTGAAGGTCAACATACAGTTCGTCATCGCTGTTATTACTCAGATGCTTGTTTCGTTCTTCATAAAGATGCCGAGCCGCCTCACGATGCGCGCGGCGCATAGCCTCGTTCTCAGCTTGCCCACGGAGCGACAGAGCTTTGGCTGCACGAGCATCGTTCCTATTCCAAGCTTGTGCGGCACTGTGATATTTAATTTATTTTTTTCTTCTGGTTAGCTCCGTGAGGAGTCTAAAAGTAGTCTAAGACAAGACACTCCTTTGCAAAAACTTATTTCGCACGTTGCCATGAGTATGGCATCATGGCGATATTTGAGATACTGCTGATTGACGCGATTTCCCGTTTCAAGCCATGGAATGTGTTTAGGTGTAGGAATTGCCTGCGCCGCAGCACTATTTTCGCGACTCGTAGTGTACGTGCGATTAGATTTAGGAGTACCTTTCCGATGACCTGGCGCTGGAGACGGAGACATGCGGACAACATCAGCCAGCGAGGAAGGACTATTTTCCTTGTGTCCAGAATTATCGTGGTGGTGTCCATTCCCCCGTTTCCCATGATGTTTCTTCCCTGCCCCCTTTACTGCAGATAGAGTGGGAAATGCCTCGGGGTCGTCGACTGATAAAGCTGCAGGATTTAATTCACGATTTTGATGTCGACTTGTTGGCCGCGAGTGTGGGCGGCTTGCTTGACTTAAGGAACTGTTTTTGTTCCTAAAACTTGGGGAAGATGTACCATGGTATTGGCCTGTATGTTTGTGGCGCTGGTACGGACCAGCATTGGGCCAAGTTTCCATATTCGAAGGTTGTAGAGCAGGAAAGGAATCGTAATTATCCTGAAATTGGTATCCTGGCTGAGTGTTGTCAACAAAACCGTCAACAAAACCACCCATGTTAGCTCCATTGTGGCTGGTTATCGTCAGTGCTCCAACCAGGGTTGAAGGATCATGAGAAAAGGGGCAACCATCACCAGCAAGACAGCTGCCTTGCAACCAGTACCTATCATCGTATTAGCAAATCTCACATTATTCAGTGCTGGGCGAAAACTTACTTGCAAATGTGGCCAGTCAAATCATGACTGAACCGGCAGTCAGCCCTGAGGCACTGTCCAGTCGACAACCAGTACTTGCAGACCACGGGACTTCGTGTTTGGGTAGACGGCGTGACGGGGCGCATTTCGTCCATTGCCATGGATTTCCCCACTAAAATTCGAGCCTCGTTGGTGGGAGTAGCCGCATTTTCCTCCTCTTGATTCGCGAGGACAGCAATTGTAGCTCCCAGATCATACCCATTTGCCTCTAGAGCTTGTTCAATGTCTTCATTTGTTCTGCGATTCCCGAGAACGGATCTCAGAATGTCGTAGGGGCTCATATCAGGTGGCGCAGCCCACTCTGGAGCAGCCCCGCTCAGGCCTGTCGAGGGAGTCACACTCCTGGCATCGTCATTTACTAGCCAGTCCACATTATCGCTACCGAGGTCGCCGTATATTTCAGGAGCGGAAGTTTGATCGGAAAATTCGTAGGCGCTAAGGCTTGGGCTGTGGGGGATAGGGTGTGCCAGGGCAAGGCGTGGGGATGGGCGAGGTGATGTAAAAGGAGATGCGGTTAGGGACCTGGGTGCCCGAGGAAAGCCTCCTCGCGGGACAGGGAACCCGGGAGGAGCAGCGGGGCTCGTTCCCGAGTTGGATGGAGGGGAGAGAGGAGTGGAGGCACGAGGGATCTGCCAAGGGGCGGGTGAAGCGCGGCGAATAACCGTATGGCGGAGGGGGGGTGAGGAGTCAGGCTTGGCGGAGCTACGATGACGCCACAGCACATCCAATACCGCATTCTCCAATGAGCTGCCTAACAAGGAGACCTTCTCCCGAAGGAGGAGTTCAAGCTTTTCGGCCTTTTCTTCCTCTCCGGTGGAGCCATCCTCGAGAATCGGCAGACATATTTCGTAGATTTCTTCAGGGACCATCGTTGCGCGGCCGCAAGGTTGATGGTCTGGAGCGAGGAGGGGCTCACTTCTGGCAAAGTAGCGCAGGTGCGAAGGACAGGGGTGAAGGATGCCACCACGATTAAGAAAGTGACAAGATCTGTCAGCAAGATCGAAGATGGGGCATGATTTCAGTGCGAAGGGCCCCAGATGGTGGTGACGCAGAAACTCGGGGTGGTGGTGGTAGCTGGTGGAGGATGAGTGTTCTATAGGGTGTGATTACATGGCAGTCGTGGCACCCAGAAAGATGACAGAAGGAGCTGGACATCAAAGAGAGTAGAAGAAGCAGAAGCAAGCAGCATGCGGTATATATCTACAAGCCTGTATAGAGCAGCATTACAGGCCAGCAGGGAGAGATGGAGAAGAGAAGTGGTGGTAGCGTATGTTGTATGTTTTGGTGGTTTGAGTTGGGAAGTTGGAGCGTGGCCTTAAGAAGTTCGTAAGGCCAATGAGGCTGACTGACATTGACTTCGCGAACGTGACATGGATAAATAAGCTCATTGACGGATGCGGATCTACAGGACCACAGGTGTCTAAGAATGCTTCCTTCTGATGCCATCCATAATCGAGACCTTGGAAGGGATGCATATATACGTGGAGCCCGGGTGCACTTTTCCAGTCACTGCTAGCTAGCTATGGGGAACCTGGCTGTTCAAACAGTAGTTACTCTGTAATCAGGCGTCTCAGGATCTCGAAACAAAACCCGGCGCACGAGGGTTCTGCTTCTTCTTCTTCTTCTTCTTCTTCTTCTTCTCCTTCTACTTCTATTAAATCCCCCAATGCGTAATGCCCGAACCTGAAATAATCTATTACTATTGCCAGTGGCTTTGTCATTTTGTTGCAGGTTTTGTTGAATTCTCGTCTGTCTGTCTTGTCTGTCTGCGTGTTTCATCGTTGCTTATTTAGCCGCCAGCGCCGCGTGTTCTGACGCCGGTTAAAATATTTAGTAACCTGCTCAGCCCATCTTTAACCGTCATCGTTGTCGCGCTCTGCTCTCTGGTGATATATTCATGCGACTTTCCCACGAACGGTGCAAACGCATCTCCCAGGGGCTGTATGCCACGCGAACAAATTCATCTCTCAGTTATCCGCGGATGAGCAAACCTCGCCTCACCACATCCATTTTCTTCAGAACCCGCCTCCCGCCGGGTCTATAAGAGATGCCAACTACAAACGATCTCTCACCTCCCTTGCTAACACACCCGGATGAATCCCTCTCTCCCACTTTTGAATCAATCCACCCGCCATGGAGCCGATCTCGCTCGAGTCTCTTCCGCTCTTCCAGCAGATGGAGCTCCTCACTCTTCTCGGGCCCACCAAACTCCCTGCGCGATAGAGCTATAAACAAAATGAATCATTCCTACCAACGTGTCTCTTCCACTTTCCAGAGGATGACTCTTCTGCAGAAAGTCGGCTCCGTGTTGGCAGCTGTTGTGGTCATTGCATTGGGGCTGGGATTTATGATTCTTACAGGTCATATATTTAAATGGCTGGAGCCTGTTGCGGAGGATTGGGAGAACTCCAAACTTGCATATTTCGTCCTGATGTTATGCACGTTTACCGTTTCTTTTCCTCCCCTTCTTGGATGGTCGACCATCGGAACTGTGGCCGGGTTTATATTTGGTGTTTGGAAAGGGTATGTCTTGCTTCCTACAGAGTGGTGATAGTCTTAACTTGTGGAAAAATATCTCCCCTATGTTTACGTATAAGATTGGTGTTGACACTGATATTTTGCCCTTAGATGGCTCATATACGGTATTGGAACTGTCCTTGGCTCGACTTGTTCCTTCATCGTCTCTCGAACACTCCTCTCGTCCTTCGTCCATCGATTAATGGAACATGATAAACGCTTTGCTGCCCTCGCACTGACTCTAAAATACGATGGCTTAAAATTACTTTGTATGATCAGACTTTGCCCATTGCCATATTCAATATGTAATGGAGCCATATCGACTTTCCCCACAGTGCATCCCCTCATGTACGGCCTTGCTACTACTATCATATCTCCAAAACTGTTGGTCCCGACCTTCATCGGCAGCAGACTGCGCATTCTAGCGCAAAACGGCGAGACGATGAGCGCTGGCTCGAAAGCCATCAATATTATCAGCATCTTGGTCAGCATGGTTGTAGGTATCTTTACTGGGTGGTATATATACAGAAAGTATGTAAAATCCACACACTCAGCTTCATATCCCTAGTTAATAACACCGCCCTAAATTTTGCCTCCATTTTTATTTTTATTTTTTTAATTGCTTTTAATTTGTGACGTTCCAAACTTTACACCGAAAAATTTCACATCATATCCATCTCCACGGTAAATTAAAAATAACATGCATATTAAATGAACTTCCAAATAGTACCCTCGCGCGCTCCAAGGAGCTCGAAGCCGAAGAGCGCGCTAACAATAATATCCGACGACTCGTGGCCAATGATGCGCACCAGCCCCAATCGCCAGGTATCTTCTCAGATGATTCGGAAGAAACCGCGGCTGCCCAGGCGCTTGACGAGGAATCTCGCATTGGCTTCCGAAGCGATGGTGTTGTGCACGGTTATGATCTGGATGCGGACATTGATGATGACCACGTTGCCATTGGTCCGATCGGATATCATGATGATTTTACGGATAATGATTCTGATGTTTTTGATGATGGGGATGGGGATGGGACTGCTGATGCTACTGAGACGTTTAGTTTGCATCGACATATAGAGTCCAAATAGATTCTGTTTTCAATCAGGTTCGTTTGCGGACTGCCTCTGTTACCTTTTTCCTTTTCCTTTTCCTTTTCTTTTTGTGGATCAAATTTGGCTTTTGCTTTTAAATTATCCTTTATCATTGCCCGTTTTCCTTTTAAAAGGTTCATTGTTCTGCTCTGCTTTGCGTTTTATGGTTTTTGGTCGCAAGGCTCGGCCTTTGGTATATATCATATTATATCTTGTTAAGACATGGTGCATGTTTTGTATGATCATGAATTGGCTCATTTTCATGTTGTATTTTTAGATATACACACTTTTATTAGTGAAAGAATAGAAGATCAAAAAATACCCTCTGTTTCATCATATGGGCTGGATGTCTCGGGGATTGAGGTTCAGGCTGACAGAGAGTCCATTGAAATATGACTCAAGTACCTCCACACCCTTGACAGTGTTCAAGTTACTTTCCTCGCAGCTTCAATCTTCAATGAAATGCAAGAGTGTTGCTCAATAATAAAGTCTCTGTTCAAAAGGAAACTTGTACTATGAGTGAGTTGGCGTTATGTGAACGATTGCCAGCTAATCAGCTTGAAAGAAATGTAAACATGCTCAAACTTCATAGGGCTTTCTTGTACGCAATGTCACGCTATACATTTGGCTTTTCTTTTCCAATCTCATAATTCTGTTCCTCTCACTGATTGACTTGTCTCAGTCATTCCCTTGATATCACTTTTTCTTAGGAGTAGGAACGGGACAACAATGACAGCTCATTGTGTTGTCTAATAACAATCAACAATCGCTAACCTTTGTATTTATTATTTATTTGCAGACGGTGTTGATGACTCGATATTCCTCAGGTTGCGAACCGTAAAAAGCCGGGTGAGCTTCTGCTCAACAGAAGAAACCAGATGCAGGCTTCGGTTTCAGAGACCACCAGCAGGCTTCAAGGCATGTAGGGTACTCTGGATTTTGCAAGAAGTCCTCACTCAGAAAACCACTGGCTCATGAAAACAGCTCTGCTAGTGAAATCGACAGTGGAAGTCATAAGCATGAAGAAATGCAACCACAGACAGAGCTATGGAATAATAGACATTTTGGGATCCTCTGTGAGAGTTCGCTAGTCCAAAATCGGGTCCTCTTGCAGAAAACTGGACAGGGGACGCTAAACGAAGGAAACCATGGGCTGCAGAGAATCTGCTTGCCTCATATTTGCTGGACTCATGTAGCATGACGACCTTTCCCGACTAGGAAATTCAACAAGATAGCGACAGATGTCAAGGCTGCGATCGAAGCCTGCTAGAGCCTTCCAATTCTCTGGCGCCCTCTAAAGTTGGCTGAGTATGTCTGACCTGGTTGAGACTTGTACAATACATTGTGGCATTCGCAGTATTTTCATCCGAGGGCCGACATTTGGCTTCGCCAATGATTAAATTTGATTATATGGTGGTTAAGTGGTTGGGCTCATTCGTGCATTTGCATCACTTTCCGCTATACTAGGCTTCAGGGATACCATGAAACAGGACAATAGAGGGACATGCAACGATTGATGGAGCATAAGACATTGTTTAGATGTGGTTGTTCACCATCCTTCACAGAGCTGCAACCCATGAACAGGGGGAGATTGCAGGCCTTTATCTCAACAGAGGCGCAGATATAATTTTCACCGTGGGATCGGGATTTCGCGTCCAGCGTTTGCCCCATACCTCCAGGGAGTTGTGCGGTTAGTTGTAAATTAATGCTAGGCTCGGCGAGATGCGACATATCTCTTGATGAAGGCTATACGCTTCGACTTGCATCTAAGCAAGGGTTAGTCAGTTAAATATCGAAATATTTTTCAGGTTTTAAGAGCTTGCAACAAGGGGAATATGCCATAAATGATATAGGGGATAGTTATAAATGTTTGAGACCAGATTGCAATGTCAGGGCATAAAAAAGTCATAACAAACGCCTTCAATTCTTCGTGGTTTGCCCCTCAGCATTGATCTGTCGAACAAAAATATGAAAATCCCTGAAGATTTAGAGATAGACACCGAAGTGTGTGGAAATATAGATTGCTGTGGCTTGGTCTCAGAAGTACGCAGCAAATCGGTCGTGGAAACAGAGCAAAGAAGCGAGACACATGACTTGGATACATCCGAGGGGAGTGCAACCTCAACTGGAAACATACATATATATATATATATATATATATATATACTATGTCCGACTCTTATAGAGGATATTGACAAACAAACACCACATAGATGTCTAACATGGCCCATTATATCCATTGACGGAGGCTACAGTCTCCCCTTTCACACTTCTATGTGTCTGGACTCCCAACTCAAGGGCAAGTAAATCGATTATCTGAATTATGTTCTTCTCGTGTCATATCACTCCCCCTTCTTTATTCCTATCTCGCATGTCTAATGTATCAATCCCATGATATAGATTAGCAAGAACATTATCTGACTGTACATTCTAGGGCCTGGAAGATATTGGATGATCCATCGGTTCCGACACCCACATCTAAAGTCGATCTCTGATAGGCGACCGTCCACCCTATATCATAGTGAGGATGGCAAAAGTTGTTGACATATCAGTATAATGAGGAACATAGCCAACGCCATTCGGTAGACTTTAATATTGGAGTTGTTCGTGTCGTGTTTGCCTTTGTTGCTACCGAGGGGATGAATCGACTTATCTTTGACCTCATACTCTAATTTCGCCATGTTCGGAATTGCTGGTAACTTGCTCACTCAACCTCATGACCCAGCAGAACTAACCACCAAGATCACACTTTGTGAAGAAAATTCATTGAAGAAGATGCTAGATATCCAACATGATATCGGACCTCATTCCCATACATCCATTGTAAACGATGCCATCGCAGAGGTCACCCTTGAAACGCTGCACACAGCGGAACTACAGATACCAAACCCCGATAACAAATTACCTCTACAGAAAACCCAATGTGATACGGGAATTGGTTTGTTTTCGAAAGACTCACAACTTTCCTCATCTACGGATTCTCTAGAGGATGATTCCCAAGGTTTGGATCGCTTGTCACGGGAGCGAGATACTTTCACCGACAGTCATCGTGAGACGCCGAATGGGTCGATGACCTCAGCGTCTCTCAGCTTTCCGTTACCTCCTCCTAGATCTACCTCCCCCAGCACACAAATGAACGACAACTTGGGCCTCGAATTTACAACAAAAAGTCAATCTGCAGATGGGGCCCCAGACTATTGTAACTCTAGACCCAGGTCATCAATCCCCTCGCGACTTTCGGCATCCACGTATGCCCAGCAATGCGTTGCTGCAGCTCATGCCTCGCGACTCAACCCCTACGCGCTGCACAAAGGTGAACAGGCCCTGCTGCAGGATGACCTTTGTCACCTCCATGTTACAGTGTATCTTAATATCCGGAATGGAATCCTTCGGCTGTGGACAAGAAACCCTATGGTCAGCGTTACCCGAGAAGAAGCACTTGGCTGTGCAAAGGACTTTCGATGGATGAATCTAGCGTCTTTTGCGTACGACTGGCTCGTTCGTAATGCGTATATCAACTTTGGGTGCGTCCATATTCCGAGAGCACCAATAGCCGCAAAAAAGGGCCGGAGGAAAGATGGGCCAACGGTAGTTATAATAGGGGCAGGCATGGCAGGCCTAGGTTGTGCCAGACAATTACAGGGACTTTTTGACCAATACCCGGACACAACCACTCCGCCAAAAGTGATATTGCTGGAAGGCCGAAAGAGGATAGGTGGACGCGTATACTCTCATCCACTAGAATCCCTACAATCAAGTCAATTACCACCAGGTTTACGACCTACGGCTGAAATGGGAGCACAGATCATTGTAGGCTTCGATCATGGAAACCCGCTTGATCCAATCATTCGCGCTCAACTGGCTCTCCGATACCATCTACTAAGAGATATCTCAACGATTTACGATATTGACGGTACCCCCGTCGATGAGCTTAGGGACGCGATGGTAGAGAAACTTTACAATGATATTCTTGACCGCTCTGGAGTTTACCGTCATAAGCCAGTTGTTACTCCTGTTGCGGAAGGTGACAGGGAGCTGATCGATTCCGGCCGTGACTCGTCTGTCGACGACGGGCTCACAATTAGACAATATGAAGAAGCTGCGGCCTCAGGGACTATAGGAATGCTATTGCCCTCTAAGCGTGTTCGAAGGGGTGTCAGCCACAAAACTGCAAATGTCAGAACGTCTGCAAGTTTTCCGCTCTCTGATCTTGGGGCAACCAATAATCATTCAGCAGCCATTGCATGCCAAGCAATGGGATGGAAGTTAAGAAATGGAGTTACTAGCCGCGACTCCATATCCTTAGATCGGATTGCGAGTAAATCTAAGACCCAATCACTGGGCACAGTTATGGACGATGGAATAAGGCAATATCAAAAACTGTTACCGTTGGGGCCCAAAGATATGAGATTGTTAAATTGGCATTTTGCGAATCTAGAATATGCGAATGCTGCGAACGTGGGGAAGCTCAGTTTATCTGGTTGGGATCAGGACATGGGCAATGAGTTTGAAGGGGAGCATGCTCAGGTGGTGGGAGGCTACCAACAAGTACCGCGGGGACTTTGGTCCTTTCCAGATAAACTGGATGTTCGAACCAACAAGAATGTGACAAAGATATCCTATGACCCACGAGGGTCGTCCAGTAATAAAACTTCCGTCCATTGTGAAAATGGCGAAATTATCCAGGCAGATAAAATCGTTATCACCGCTCCTCTAGGTGTACTCAAAAAGGGATCTATCAAATTCGAGCCCCCTCTCCCAGAATGGAAGACAGGCCCTGTGAACAGACTTGGTTTTGGAACTATGAATAAGGTTATTCTCGTTTTCGAGAAACCGTTTTGGGATTGTGAAAGAGATATGTTCGGTCTGCTTAGGGAACCTACAACAAAAAACAGTTTATCTCAATCGGACTACAGCCAAAACCGTGGCAGATTTTATTTATTCTGGAACTGTATCAAAACTGCTGGGCTCCCAGTATTGATTGCCCTTATGGCCGGTGATGCCGCACACCAAGCCGAGAGAATGTCCGACTCTGAAATCCTCAGCGAAGTTACATCCCAGCTTCGCAACATTTTCAAACATATTGCCGTACCTGATCCCCTAGAAACCATTATCACACGCTGGGGTCAGGACAAGTTTGCCAATGGCAGTTATTCCTACGTTGGGACAGAGGCACTGCCTGGAGATTATGACCTTATGGCCAAACCAATTGGGAATCTGTATTTCGCTGGTGAAGCTACCTGTGGCACGCATCCAGCTACAGTGCATGGAGCATACCTCTCTGGGCTTCGTGCCGCATCCGAAATACTCGAGTCCATTATTGGCCCAATCACTTTCCACAAACCTCTTGTTCCCACCAGGAGCAAGGCAGCCAATACGATGTCTATCGCAACCGTGAATGGCACTATTCCCAATCGTACTCCGGCCAACGGACGGAAGCGAATGGCACCACTGACGACCGAAACTCATAAATCCCCCGGGAAAACTGCTGCTGCACCCCGATCAAACAACTCTTTTCCCTCCGCGTCCTCCCTTCGCGAAGCCTACGATAAAGCAATGTGGGAAGCAATTATTGGCGAACTCGGCCCCGCTGAACCGCGGCCAGCAAAGAAACCACTCAATCCATTCCTACTATACCAAAAGGATTACTGGCACATCTGTAAGACGAAATGCGATGATGCCCGTCGCGCCAGCACAGGTAATATCAATGCCAAAGCGCCCCGGGACGAGATTCGCCAGGCCCTGGGCCAGATGTGGCGCGATGCTCCTGAAAATATCCGGCAACCATACCTTGACCAAATCGCGGTGCACCGTTTTGAAAATGACGAGTCATTGGAAAAATGGAAGGAGAGGATCATTGAATGGGAGCGGAAGACGTATGAAGTGAAAGATCGGTGGTGTGAGGCAAATCCGTTTGATGCGTTTAAAATTGAAGCTACGAAGAAGTATTTAGAGAGTATTGAGGGCTAGGATTAGAAGAAGCTGTGAACTCGAACTGGGGAGGAAGGTTGCGTGAATTAAGTGAGTCTATTGGGAGGTTTGATTCCCTACTTTTATCTTCAAACGTTGCAGGTTACAGGTATCATTCCTCCATTCGTCCTCTACTTTTTTCTCAAGTTTCCAGTCGCAATACTGATTGTATTCGAATATAAAGAGTTAGGTGTCTCTCGTGGGGTGGGAGCATGGTTCGGTGGCTACGCTACCGTCTATTAAGAGAATTCCTTCATGGATGTTTATATGGGAGGCAAAGTCATTTCATGGCGCATCGCTTCTTATGTTAATTTTCCCTATACTTTCACTTCTGATTTTTGATTCATTTGTATTGTATGCATTTTACTCGTATGTACTGTATGTATGTACATTGGCTTTCTCTGTTTTCCCTCCTTCCGTCTCTCAGTAGGCAGCGGTTGTGGAAACAACCAATGAAATGCTCATACACAATTATTAGAATGAAGCAAGTTAATGGACATGAGCATCCATGACTGAATTTTATCATGTGAATTTGTTCACATCATCTTCTCACTCAATAAATCCATGAATTGTAGTGTGTCATTTGAACAGCTATATGTCTATGATTTGCTGTCTAACCCAAGATATCCATTCAATACATATATAAGGTGGGATATATAATAAATCCAACACAACGAGAAAAAAATACGCTTTTATTTCTGGTCACCTGTTCCAACGCAACAATAAAATCTCTCCCCCCAGGGATTTCTCACGTCCAACCTAGAAACCAAACCCTAGGGAAATCCCCATGATACACATCTATCTTCTCAAAGCAGAGGATTCGACGAATACTCCAATGATGGAGCACCTTGCCTTCCTTGAATTGTCGATTGTTCGAGAGTCGAGGTAACGAGAGGTGGTTCGTGACCCCCTTCGGACTCCGCTAAGAACTTTTCAGCTTCAAGCGCAGCGATACAGCCAGATCCTATATCAATCGTAAATAAGTCATTAGCCCAACGGCCCATGGTAAAACAAGCATACAAGGGGCATCATATAACAAGGACAATACATACCCGCACTTGTAATCGCCTGCCTATATCTCTTATCCTGCACATCGCCCGCAGCAAATACGCCAGGGACACTCGTATAACTCGTTCCGGGCTTTGTAACAATATAGCCCTCCGAGTCCGTCTCTATCTGTCCCTTAACCAGTGCTGTTGCAGGGTCGTGTCCTACGGCGTAAAAAAGTCCATTGGCGGGCACTACCTCCTCGGCTCCGGAGACAACATCCTTAATCTTCAAATGTGTCATGAGTCCGCGTGGCGCAGGATCGCCCAGGACTTCGAGCGCAACGGTGTTAAACTTCACCTCAACCTTGGGGTTTGCCAACAACCTCTTCGCCATAGTCTTGCTGGCGCGCAATTTATCCTTTCGCACCAACACGGTCACCTTACTCCCATACTTCGTAAGAAACATAGCTTCCTCCGCAGCCGAATCCCCGCCGCCAATCACGAACAATGGCTTGTTGCGGAAAATAGGCACAGCTCCGTCACACACTGCGCACGCACTGATGCCATTTTGCCAATACCGCTCCTCACCGGGCAAATCGAGACGGCGGGCATTAGCGCCCGTGGCAATGATAATCGCATCAGTGGTGTGTGCGGGCCCATCGTTAGGCCCATCAGCATATTCTTTCCATAGCTTGAAGGGGCGCGAGGACAGGTCAATGCGCGAAACAGTTTCAGTGATGATATCCGTGCCGAAACGGATGGATTGGGCACGCATGCTGTCCATGAGCTCGGAGCCGCTGATTCCATTGGGAAAGCCAGGGAAGTTCTCGACGTCCGTGGTAGTGGTGAGTTGTCCGCCGGGAGCCGTGTTGTTGGCCATCATTCCTTCGTACAGAATCGGTTTTAATTCAGCGCGTGAGAGATAGATGGCTGCCGTGTGGGCAGCGGGGCCGGAGCCGATGACTTATTAATTTGCCCGCTTCATGGTTAGATGTAAACTCGAGGAGGGAGAGGGAGTTCTGGCACTTGGTATCCAGGGACTTGAAAGAATTTCAGTACTCACTGACGACTTTCGAGTGCGCCATCCTAGACGAGATGTGGGACGCGTTTCTGGCGCTCAATGGCGTCGTCGGGGTAAAAGAGAGAGCAGTGCCAGAGGGGGACGGTCTGTTCTGGAACGAGGCCGCAACAGCAACAGAGACTCCGACAGAGGATCGGAGGGGAAAAGGGGGAGCACGGCGGAAAATTGAGGAAAACAGCTTGATTTGATTGTATAAACTGGCTGAGAGGGGTTGCTGTTGAGGCTTTATGGTAGTATTTGCACGGTAGCTTGTTCCTTTCTTGTTGTTTTCTGGTGGTGGGGTTTGGAGGTGGAAACTCCAAAGATTTTGAGAAATGAGGTCAGTCAGTTCGGCGATGATTCTAAGAGAGGAATCTGTGTTAGCAACAAAGAGAGAAGAGAGATTGTCAGAAAAAGAAGAGACCTTATCGCTGAATAAATAATGGGAGAATGAGTTCGATTAGTTATCTATGCCTTTTCAACGACGTTGATTACCTGTTACCTATTACGGACTAGCGCACCGCACACATCTCAACCACCGAGACGTCCCACAACAAAATGATCAACCCGTGCTCTCTACTCCGTACAATGACGGCCTTGCATAATAATATTACTGGCTCTCTTTTGCGGATCCGATCAAACCTTGACTCAGTTCTCTCTGTGGGTTGTGAAAATTGCGTTTGAAAATGAATCCATGGCTAGCATACTCTGCTCTCTACTCTACACAAAGCTCATAACCAATGCGACAACTGCCTACCTCGTGACAGCACAATTGCTCTGACTATCCCAAAGTGTTTCCTTATTCCTTTTTACCTGAATCAGTTTTCTATCAAGTGGATCTCTCTGTGGTCATGGATGGTTTCACGTGGCTCACGTCATCATTAAGGGGGTTGCTTTTTTTGGCGGCTATTTATAGTCAATTTTGGGGCATGAGAGATCAGACACCCAGATGAGCTCCATATCAGATCCGCCTCCATTGCATAGGCCAAGGCGGGAGGCCGACTGGCGGCCGTTGTCACTTAATTTGCTAGGCAGCTAATCACCAGTAACAGTAACCTGGTCGGTTCATAGAGCAGGTCCGCTACAAATATGAAACCTTTCTCGCCAACTGAGCCTGTTCGTTTTGTTCATCCTACGCTGTGAATTTGCCCCTGGGAGTTGAAGGAATTCAGCTGGTACTCCAAGATCCAAAAACCGCTCTTGTGCTTTGCCGCTTGCTCGTTGCAGATTTTGCCTCCACTTAGGTGGTTAAACATCCGTTCAGTGGGTGGCGAATACGCATATCTCCAAAACCAATGGCTTCTTTTTTTTTCGAGTTGCAACCGGTTTGTGGCTACTATCGCTTCAAGCTTCCCTCGGCTCGTGATTCAGTTGAGTAGTAACTCCCTGCTAAATCGCCCCGAAGAAGGGATTCCCTTGGCTAGCATTGTTTATGGTGCAAGTAGGTGGATACCGCTAGCCATTATCCGGAAAATAAAAACTTGAACTTACAGTACGTACAGATCTGTAGAAGGAGTCGTGTTTAGCGGACTGCCAAGCATGTATATTTATACGGAGTACTTGCTTCAAAAATCCCGCTTTTTGCCTTGGATGTGTTCATATTTCCATTGGGATTCTATTGAATCTGTACACTCACTTAAAAAACATAAACTTCTACACTCCCTTATTCAAACTGTTCTTTTTACTCTGCAAACAAGATACGCAACAGAGAGTCTCTCACTAAGGTGGATAAAACGACGGGAGAGAGGGCGAGAGTCAATATTGACAGTAAAACAAACATGACCACCAAATTAAAAACGAAATCTCCCTTAACAACATCATCGCTATTCTCTACATCATCGTCCTGGGTAGATGATGCGGAATTCCTTTACTTCAGCCCAAACTTTGCCCAATACGAAGGCCCGTCGATGAGCCCGAAAGCCCACAAATGGCAGCAAGTCCCCATGCAATATGAACACGAAATGTATCTCCAACTCACAGCTGGCAACGACGGTGTTGCTGAGAAAACAGCAAGTCAACTCTATCTGGAGGTAAATCCCCCTTGACTTCGGCAACTGATGTTGCTCTGACAATCGCGAATCAAATTCATCGCAGCCCACCACACCATTTCACAAATCCCCTCTCAAACCACACGTTGTCTAGTTTATCCACTCTCTTTACTCATGGAGTTTACCTGTCAATCTAGGAACGAAGACGCCGTCTACACTCTCAATCTCAAGACCCGGCTATCTCTGGCCCGCAACAAAACTGCCCCAGCCCGATAGACTTCGAAGCCGCTGAGATAGAGAGAATACGAGCTGTCGAGCGTCAACGTGAGAGCCTCTCGAGATCCACAACAGCGATCAAGCAAAGTAACCCGAGGGCCTCTTCCGGACCGAGAACGATGGCGACAATGATGACAAAAGATGACTGGCTGTTTTGGATTTGAGAATGGAACAATGTACCATCATTTTCATTTTGTCATTTGTTCTGAGATATAACAGGCTTGTTATCTAGGTTTTACTTTAGTTTAATTTCCCTGTGATTTAGTTTTTGTGCTCCTCATTTAGCCTGGGTGTTGGGATAGGTGGGATATTTGCTATTGTTTAATAATGATGGGATTTTCGGGTTCTCGCATGCTTCGATTTCATATTACTCGATGGAGAATAAATTTCAATGTTTATTATTCTCTATTATCTTTTGGGGAGACATCACTGAATGTAAATATCATGACGAATCAAAAGGACCATGAGTCAAATACACCACGGGAAGTTAGGAAAAGAGAATATAAGGGATGTGGAAAATAAAACAACGATCTTGAGTATAAGTTCAACCATTATAACTTCGTCGGTAAAAGGAAAGAAAAACGTACAAGCCAAAAACCGAGAATCAATGCAAGTATCCCATTTTCAATAAGACAATATAATAGGATGTGATCAAATAGGAAAATGAATGCAGAGTAATGAAATAAATGAAGTCCATCCCATCCCTATTCATCACACCCGAATCTCGTCAAATCATATTAAGAATTAGATCATGAATGGCCCACCCCAACAAGCCCCTTCACTTCCTTCCCATGCTGATCGTGGCCTTGACTCTCCTCCCCCTCCGCTTCCATCTCAACAATAAATCGTTCCCACGTCGCCAGCACCCCCTGATAAAATTCCACATGTTTCTCTGCCAGCGCCCCTAATGTATCACGGAACTCCACGGCCTTAATGCGTTCAAAATCCGCCACTTCCCTGACGACCTCCTCATCGAACATTTCAGACGTGGTTTTGGAACTTTCAACTTCTCGCGTTAGTTCGTCGATGCGCAATTCGAGCTTGCGGATGCGCTCGCGACGAGATTGTTCATGGTCGACGCCGCGCATGTCTTCCATTTTAGAGCGGATGAAGGAGGCTGGGTTGCTGGTAAGTGGGTTGGGAGAGTAGTACGAGGCCGGGTTGTTGGCTAAAGAATCACGATCGAAAACGGCTTTGTTCCGGTAGTCGACAAGCGCTTCAAAGTCTAGCTGTTTTTGTTCGCGGGTTTTTAACAGGGACTTAAGGGAGAGGATATACGCTTCCATGTCCCGTAGGCTTCCCAGGTAGTTTTGGTCTGTGTGGTCTTTGAGGTCCTTTATACCTCGAGCGGTCTCTTCTACTGAGGCAGCAAAGATTTGCAACGGTGCTTCGACATCAGGCTCGAGCAAGACCAGCTTGCGGAATTGTGTGGCTAGTTCGTTGTAGTCGGTTTCTAGATCTGACTCTCGTCTAGCTACCCTTGCCACTATCTTCTCAACATGATTCAAGTCTTCATCTAATTTGTCCGCTTTCTCCCGCACCTCGATGAACCGCTTGTCTGGTTTGTGTACCTTCGTGAAAGCGTTGACAAAAGTGTCTGCAAAATTGTCAAAAATACCCGTTGGCCCGTTGCCGCCATCAGAGGTGCTGGTGGAGGTACGTGATGGGCGAAGGCGCATATGCGCGTTCCAATCTGCGGATTCGAGGAATACAACGAGAATTGGAGCACGGCGGAGGACAGGATGGAGAGATAGCCGCTTGAGGAACCGGTGAAGGGACCAAGCGCGACGGTTGGTGAAATCAGATCCAAAACGATCCCCACGCACGTATTCCATCTTATGCTTGTCTGGTAGCGGAGGGACAGCACAGGCTGGGTAATCGCGAAATAGTGTGTTATACAAGAAATTGAAATCCGAGTAGCGACGACGGACAGTGAAATCGGGTCTTTGGAACGATTTGAAGTCGGTCTAGTAGGGTTATTGCAAAAGATATATTAAGTTAGCTATGCAGGGTATATACCATTCGGTAGGTAATTAACAAAGCGAGGGGCCACAAACATGGGTGGTGATGAGATAAGATATATAGACATCTTTCGTGCCACTGTTTTCCTTCAACGGTGAATCTACTCTGCATTCAAGTATTCCATCTCCAATTCCCGCAAGCTCGCCACCAGGGTGTGGGGAAAGCTGCGGGCCCTCCTCTCCGGCGGAGCTCATCCTCCGCTTTCCATTTACATCATAGTCTGACCTCTCTGGTTCCTCCACATCAGTTCCGGAAGTTGTTGGCCTTGACAAATCGCTGTCGGGGCCATTCTTCCAAGAGACACTGTCAAAGTCGCTATGGTCCATAGTGGTCCAACCTCTTCCTGGTGAGGGGACCTGGGGTAGAAGCGTTGAGGTACGAGCTTAGCGTCGGCGGGGGAGCTGGGAAGTTTGGGCTGGCGATTCCTTCTGACTGGGGTCATAAAGCAAATGTAATCGTCCGAGGAGCTTTGGTATAAAGGGGCTACTCCAAATACCAGTCTAGTGAATTCGCTATTGTTCGTTGGCGGACAGAAGTAGATACGGAGTGCAGGCAACTCCATTCCAAGCTGGATGGATGGATGTTTGGATCCTTGGACAGTCAGCAATTCACGTGGTCTTGGCTTCGTCATAGCCGCCTTTTCTCATGGTACAACCCGATAGGGCTCAGCTATCACGGTTCAACATCGCAGGTATCACTGCCCTTTTTCTTTTTCTCTTAATGATGCTCACGTTTGCTCGCGAGCGATCCCTCTAGGATACCGATTGGACCCTCTTCTGAATATTGGATTTCTGCACGCATGCCTCATGGGTTACTTGCTTCTCGCAACAGGTTGCCTTGTGAACATGTCCCAACCCCATCCTCGATTCTCAACCACTCGCCGATATCAAGTAGCAGCTGTGCGAGACAAGGGATAGGGCATCTACCTAGAATAAATCTGTTTGGTTTTGGCTTGAAGCAACTTGGTGCCACACTCACTGGTGTCAAAGAGAGAAATCCGAAATTTAACAGTGTCATAATTTGCAATTTTCGCCTAGGAATCATTGATAATGGAAATTTATCTCTTTTTGAGCCAATGCCCCGCCCCGCCCCCGCGGTCAATGTGTTTCGGCTCTCGCCCCTGGTCCCGTTAACTTTCCGCCCTTGGCATCTTTAAATCAAGCAACCCGAAAACCAATACAAGAAGCCCCTATGTATACATATCTTCCCACATCTTCATACAAGCCTCATAACCGCCCCTTTGACATGCGCAATCTTCAAGCATACTGCATCTCTTCCCTGCCTCACCCTCAATAAAGATAACGTAGCTTGCAAGTTATACTGATCGAGCGGCGACGACTGCGGGAACGTATTCCCTGGCCCCGTCGTCTGGTCCCAGAGGATCTCCAGGCCCCCAAATGTAAAGCCTTCTGTTAGGTGTGGGCTTCGCGATTGGATCTCGTTCTGAATTAGACGGAGGAGGGCGCCGTGGGTAATGCAAGGGTCGATGAGTATTGGAGTGGACAAGTGGAAGAAGCGGAGCATTACGGGAATTGGGGCTGGGGATATGGCCATTGCGTTCGAGTGAGCAGAGGACCCAGGGTTTAATAAGGTGAATAGTATGAACTATTTCGATCTTATGTGCGGCTGTGTCAAACGGTAGAGTACCATCAGCATATAGTACGACTGAATGATAATGTATTGAGCGGGAAGTTTTCAAATTTGATGAAATATTCCAAAATATTTAACAAATTTTCCGTCTTGGGATTTGCGAACCGTTTTATGCGCAGATTAAATTCTACTAATCTCACAGTGTCTATTTCTTTGCAACCGTCGCCCTTACCATTGAGGTAGTTTACTCGATGCCATGCGTCTCGTCGCATACATATATGCGCATACATACATATATGTATGCGACTGCAAGAGCCAGAAACTCGTCATCCAACCAAAAATAAGCAATGACCGAATGCGTGGAATTGGCCATTCAAAGTTCCGCCCCCAAAATACATGCGCAGATTCAAACCGTTCCGTGTCCCTTCATCCCAACCTTTCCTCTCCCTATCCCCCGAAAACCCTTCCCACTCACTCGCCTCACCCACGCCGCCCTTCTCGACTTCAAACCACCACGCTTTGTCTTTCAGAAATATATGTTTCTGCGGTAGTATCTCCAACACCGCCCCAACATCTCCGTGACAATCTTCGTCGATTAAACCCACTGCCACCCCCAAAACATCCGGGTCCATATCATACTGCATAGAAACCGTCGAACCACAAAACCCGCGCGTGGCGAGTCTTAGTGTAGGCATTCCATTGCCGCAGGCAGGGGCTTCAGGATTGCCACTAACCGTGCCCAGCGCACTCACTCCCTCCCATTAGTGAGTGCGCTGGGCCCGGTTAGTGGCAATCCTGAAGCCCATGCCTGCGGCAATGGAATGCCTACACTAAGACTCGCCACGCGCGGGTTTTGTGGTTCGACGGTTTCTATGCAGTATGATATGGACTCGGATGTTTTGGGGGTGGCAGTGGGTTAAATCGACGAAGATTGTCACGGAGATGTTGGGGCGGTGTTGGAGATACTACCGCAGAAACATATATTTCTGAAAGACAACGCGTGGTGGTTTGAAGTCCGAGTAGGGCGGGAGTGGGTGAGGCGAGTGAGTGTGAAGGACTTACGGAGAATAGAATTTGATAACTGGCAGCAATGACTAAGATCTACCGCTCTACTCGGATACATATATATCTGCTTATACAGACGGAAGATGTTGATATCGGAAATCAATACCAAAGACATAATATCTGTCCAAGTCTATAGTTCTTAACGATGGAGCAGCACTCCGTGGTGGGAGGACGATGGTGTGGCGCGGCCTCATTCCTGGTTATCCATGCCCCCCCTGTCTGGGGTTTGGATAAACCGCCCTATAAGACCCGACAAGAGCGGG